ACTGAGCCCCACCGCCACGACAAGGCGGGAACCGTTGGTGGGGTCCCAATACTCTTCCTAGGTAGACAGTGACTAACCTCTATAAAAACAGCATTTTTTGTATAAAAATAATTATTAGAAAATATTTAGAACGCGCGGCGGGCGTTCACCATAATTGCTATCACTTTTTCCCTAGAATTGTTATTAAAAAGGAGAATACTAATTACTTTTCTCATTGACAACAATACTTTTTTTTCCTTAAGATGAATAAATTTAACAAAAAAAACATCAAAGTAGTGAAGATTCGCATTAATCTAAATCACGGACAGTTACAACAAATAAACCGTAATATTCACAAGTCTTTATTAAAACAAGTTTTATTACGCTTAAATCCTATATAGTGACTTATTTTTTCCACCTTGCAACACAAAACTCACTCTCCTTGGAAAAACTTGAATAATAAAACCGTCTCAAAAACGGTTAATTTATCACAATTATTGATCCAATAATGAACACGAGAAACTATAATCATACACACCAATTACATTTAAAAAATACATATGTATTTACTGTAATTTGTGAAATGGCGTCATATTTCTACGGCCTAATTTTAGTCCGTTTTCCTTTCCACGCTTTTCTTAAGAGTAAGGGGTGGGAAGTAAAAGTGGATTTGACGGTAGAACAGACGCATAGTAAGGGGAAATATCCTCTTTGCGTCTCCTTCGCCGATTAAAGGTACGCAACGTATCTGCAATTGTCTATATGTAGCGGTCGCTTCTCCATTTCGGCGGTTTCAGGTGGCCGCTTGCTCATTTTCTACCTTGTAGATATTAAAAAAAATAACTATGACAACCGACATATTATAAAATGTATTATTAGTATACGAAATCAGAAATTTTGTCATGTACTATTTAAATGAGCGTAGGCAGGAATAACGTCAGTGCCACCAAGCTTTATAGAGCAATGAACTTAAGTCTTATAAGACATATTAGTACGTACAATTCGTTGTTAAAATAATAATTATTACTGTACCATAATATGTTAAATGGACAACATACATAAGCAGTACAAAACGGCCCTGCATTAAATCATTACTTCTGAAAGACAATTTTTATTTTTAGTTCCACCAAAAAGGCGAAGCGAAGCGATCACTGCCCAGAGACATCCGCAATAGAGGATGCGTTGCCTACTCTTAATAAACGGAGGAGGAGATGCATTTAAAGAGGATATTTCACCTTCCTATGCGTCTCCGTCACCGTCGTCTCCACGGTCCCTTCCTATCCTATTCTTGGGAAAAAGGGTGATAAGGAAAAGGGTCTCAAGTTGAGCCTCCGTTGGGCCTCAATACCTGAGCATTTAAAACAATATTTAGACAAAATGATCAATAACATTTTACATACAGGATGTTACTAATCTCTAAAATATGGTATTGCGGTAAAAACCAAACACTTCAAAAGCCTACGTCAACGTTTATATACCGATAGAAAAGAACATGTGACAGATTCTTTAAAGCTAGCTTAACAAAGTTGATATAAAATCGTTTATCGAACAGACTGATACGTAGTTTGTCGTATCTACTGTTTTATTGTACAAGTGACTCGGAAATAATTTGTCCGTATGGCTCTAAGTTTCCATAAGTGTAGCGATAAGAGCCCGACAAGATAACCAGACGAATTTGTAATCGACAGAGTATCCTGTGTATAACGCAATTATTTTTAAAACGGAGTAATGTAGTTGTTTTTGTATCAATTGTATAAGGAAGAACAATATAATTAATGCGCTTTACCCAGGGGGTAAGCAGAGAACACAGTCCATTTAACTCGATTGGGACACACATATCTTTTTCTACATTTATACATACCCATACATGCATGTCGGATTCAGGTGGTGTTAATACCGCCCTTCTTAAATAATTCATCAATGAAATTGAAGAATGTATGAAGAAAATAAATAAATATCCCCCAATTGTTCGTCTCCCGATGACTGAGTTTGGCTTTTGTTTTAACTATTTTTGGAAAGACATGGCAGTGTGGAATTTATTTTTATTTTTTTGGTTTAATCTGCTCTTGACATGACATTTTAACAATGGAATACATGGTGTCCAAAACAAATATTAAGGTAATCCATTCCATTTTTGTAGAGTATAAACATGTGAATTTAGATTACAGTAATCTTCAGTTTACATCACATCTCTATTGACTACGAGCGTAAAGATATAGATCGATAGGTAATAATTATACTTGAAAGTCAAGTGTTACATTATCTGAGTAAACTCTGATAAATACATCAAATAACTGTAGAAAAATGAAGGACGTTGCTCCTTGTAACGTGTGAATCCATCTCACATTACATGTTGTACATATTGATTAGAACATTTAACATTATAAGCGTGTGTATCCATAAATGGCTTGCGTATTTGAGGTACTTAGCGTTCATTAAATCTTTTTTTTTCTCTATTTCAGCGACACTCATCACCGCAACCGCGGGAACCTGCTACGGTTGGCCATCGCCGACCTTACCTTACTTACGGTCCAAGGAGAGTTCTATACCGACCTCACAAGACGAGGGATCATGGATAGTATCCATCATGATCCTCTGCTCTGCGCTCACGCCCATACCTTCTGCGTACTTCGCCGACAGATTCGGTCGGAAGACTACGTTACTCTTAGGTGCTATCCCCTTCATCTTAGGCTGGGTGCTTGTCATCGTGGCGAAGTCTGTCGCTGTGCTGTATGTCGCCAGAATGTTCTCCGGGCTGGGCTACGGCATTGTGTACACCGTCGCCCCCATGTACACAGGAGAGATCGCAACAAATGAAGTCAGAGGCGCGCTCTCCACTCTCATTACATTAATGAATAAGGTAATGGAAATGTACTATTTAGGTTAAAGACAACACCTGTACAAACAGTGTTGAAACAATTACGTCATTTGTCGCATTGTTAGTTCGTTAAGCGAGGTAACAAATTAAATGTAGAGTTGAGAACAGTTAGGAATTTTAATGCCAACTCATATAAGTATTGCAAGCAAACCCACCAACCGTTGTTATGTGACCACCATGGAGGGGAAAGCCTTCTTTTCTGAATAGAGGGAATTTGACAAAATCAAAAAATAATACATACAGATATGGCTCTATTCCATCCCATGGCCCTGTTAACTTGTAAAATAATATTCAGCACACGTTATTAGTTGATTTAACCATTATTATTTCGTTTCCTTGTTCAATGTTCTAATTCTGACATTAACGTAAAGGCGTAAACAAATATGCTGAATTAACAAGGCGTAAATCGTGACTAATTATAAATTTAACATCATAAAATTATTTTTACTATGCAGAAATATCACGAACATGTAAAGTTTCCATTTTATTAAATTAAACACGGGCGATGTTTACTGTTCAGTGTCATCGCAGTCATATTGAGTCTCACCTTTCACTGAAGTGTTACTATCACTGTATCTAAGCCGTATTCTGTTTACTATTACTTCGATAATGCTGATAAAGTACTAGGTTATGTTTACGTCTTTACTTTTATAACATACAATCAAAAAATATTTATTGAATAAGCACCAACAATTAAACATGCTTACCAAACCCTACCGGACAAAAAAAATATCTTAAATTATATTTACACATCCTTATAAAATCTTTAATTGAATGTACTTTCTTTATTTCAGGTCGGTATTCTTGCCCAGTACTGCATCGGGCCTTTTGTAGACATGCGTACACTCGCCGCCATCAACTTGATCCTGCCCATCACCTTCGTGGTCACTTTTATCTTCCTACCAGAATCGCCCTACTACTATTTGAAATTTGAACGCACCGAAAGAGCCGAAAGATCTCTGAGAAATCTCCGCACCGGTGATATAAGACTGGAACTTAAAAACATTGAAATAAACGTCCAAGAGGACATGAAGAATAAAGGTTCGTGGGGCGATTTGATATTTGAAGCTACTAATAGAAAAGCTATGTGGATAAGCATAGGAGTATTCACTATCCAGCAGTTGTGCGGCAGCGCTGCAGTGGTAGCGTACGCACAAACAATATTTAAGAGCACAGAAAGTAAAATAGAACCGTACCAAGAGTCGATAATACTCGGTTGCGTTCAAGTCGCTACATGCATGCTATCAGTACTTCTGGTGGATCGCGTCGGTCGGAAACCGCTTCTCCTGCTGTCGGCTCTGGGTGTGGGTCTGATGAACGGCACTATAGGGACGTATTTCTACTTCAGTGTGTGGCACAAAAGCTCTATAGGACAGCTACACTGGGTGCCCCTGGCGGCTATCGTCATCTACATCGTGTGCTACGCCATTGGGCTATCGACAGTGCCCTACGTTATCATAGGGGAGATGTTCCCCACCAACGTGAAGCTATACGCCTCTTGCATCGCACACATCTACACTGGTTTCTCTATGTTCGCGGTCCAGAAACTATTCCAGGTATATTTAGACATTAGATTTATAAAATTGTATCAAGAGCACTCTAAATGACCTGCATGTATGCGTAGACATGTTTGAGGATCGCCCCAAACAGTGCGGACTCTACTTGGGTTACGGGTTACTGTGTTGTTTGCTGTTATTGAATTTATAATAGTCCAAATAAAATTCCATCAGCGATATCAATTTTAGGAAAGTCCTAAATGTAAAGAACTGAACAAAAAGATGTTTTGTTTAGTTCCAAAGTGTCGTGAGATATTAAAGTCTGCCATAGTTTCCACAATAACTGATATTGTACATCTGAGACACAATATTTATAGTTAAAACAATACAGTTATATACATTTATTATATTTATATTAAAGGCCAAGTCAGGCTATAGATAGAACTGTTTATTACAAAATGTCAACAAACCTGTTCTCATCATTCATATCTTAAAATTGATTACTACAAGGAAATGATTATTTACAATTTATTATCAACGATATTATTCACCCAGATTGGTTATTTCAATCATGTTTTTGTCATATAATTCGTGATAGCTACTTGATAATTTATTTGTTATGTTTTCAGGTGGTGTCCGACTCCTGGGGTATTTACACAGCGTTCTGGGGCTTCGCGGCCTTCTCCCTCCTCGGGCTGGTGTACATGCTAATCGCGTTACCAGAAACTAAAGGAAAATCTTTCGCCAACATCCAGGCGCGACTCAAGAGGGACGTGGCCCGCGACAACGCGAGCAAACTGATGACTGTCGAGTATTAAACGTAGCTTATAAGCTATACGCTGTAGGGATCAAGTTGAAAGTGTTAAGAATATTGATACTTAAGATTTAATGATAGTTTTACATACGTACTTAGCGTTTTATATACAAAAATAACTAGCGCTGAAGAAGGTTACACCATTAGCCTGTAGAGGGGTATGAGTGGTAGGACGGTGGGCATGAGGAGGCTGGCGCCGGAGAAGGCGGTGAAGTCCTCGGGGTTGTAGTCGGGCGGCAGGCCGCGTGACGTCACCACGCTGGCGTACAGCTTCGCCGAATGCTTTGCCGTCCGCGTCTTGTTAGGACTCTTGAAATCAACCAGGTACAGACCGAAGCGGGACCTGCAAATGCATTTACAATATCATGACCAGAGTGAAAATTATAACGCGGTTTTGACACATTCCTGTGTTTTATTTATAACCTTTCCCACATGGTTTTGAAAAGTAATAATTCATTTGTATTGTACAATAACAAAAAAAAACAGTAAGTAGTAATTCGGGCATGCTTAGTAGATATTTTAATATCATGTTTTAATATATTAATTGTTAATCATGAAGATATTATCCACAAAAACATGTATTATTAGATTTCTAATTTAGGAACTCTAGAATAATCAGCATTATCATATCAATATCATAACATTTGTTAATTGATTTATTTGCATTGTCATGCTTTTAATTTATTTTCACTGTAACCTAAGATTAAACTTTCAAAGTAAATTGATAAATGATATTTTCTACTAGCTACTTTAGCGACTCTTTCCTAGGGAAAACAATAAAAAAATAATAATAAAACTTAATTAGTAAATGTGCTTTTCCAGACTACGTCCTACATCTATTTCAAACATGCAAGAGAGAGAAAACAAGATTCGTTAAGTCGTTTCAGACACGAAGTAACAAACATCGAAACTCTCCCATTTATAATATTAGTAAACTAAAAGTATACTAGTAAGTAAAATAAAAGTAAGTAGCTTGTGACTTCAAAGAAATAGACTTACACATAACCGTCGTCCCATTCGAAGTTATCCATCAAACTCCACGCGAAGTACCCGTGTACGTTGCTATGGTCTTCGTGGATAGCGTGCAGTAGCGCATTCAGGTAGTGGCTATAGTACGATACCCGCGCGGCGTCGTCGATACCGCTGAAGTCCGCGTACCCATTCTCAGTCACAATAATCGGTACATTATTATATGTTTTAGTTATCCACTTGAGCAGACGACGGAAACCGAATGGTACAACCTGAAAACAAAAATTTTAATTTTAAAAACACGGTATCAAACCATAAAAAAATCTAAAGATACATTTTTTTAAAGGTTTCATTTACTAAGACAATAAATAACCTATCTAAACTAAGCTTCCACAATAAGTGTTGATTTGTAATAAAACGATTTTAATATATTAATTGAATTGAGATCTTTATTGGGTCTAAATAAATGTTTCAATGACGACAGTTTAAACGTTGATTAATATCTAAAATAGACGTTAAATGAGTTCTACAATTAAAAACCGGAATTTATCGAAAAGGTATTCCCAATATTGTTCTTATCGTAAGTCATTTGCACGATGTCAAGCCATTGACACGGATAATATAAGCAAACCTGGTTAAAACCACTATTAACAATACGGATCAAAACGTAACATAAAATCTACAAATAAGGCAATGCATTTGTGAGAACACAATTGTATCTCAAATTATCTCTATAATAGCGCAAGATAATGAATGTGCAATTACATAAAATTATCAACACCTGATGTATATTTAATGTGTTCTTTTAGCTCTGCAAACTGCAGTCAATGTGACCTCCAGATTTCTGATTGTCCTCTATGATAACAAACTAATGATCATTCGGATAATATTAAAAATTCTCACCTTTAACCAAGACGACGATGACTTTGACGGCCATTTTGGATCTTGTACTCTGACGATGCCTATGTCATTTTCATGGGATGGTATAGCACCTACTTCTTTGTCAGCCATACTAAGAAGATACGTCGTGTAGTGATTCAGACCGAAGAAGTCTGCAGTACCTCGTATAAAGGCCACTTCTTCGGGTGTAAATTTGGGCAAACGCGATCGAGTGTAATTTTGGAGTCGACTCTTCTCATCTACAAGTTTTATTAGCTCTGGGGGATAATTTCCTTCTGCCGAATATACAGGATGGGCATACCATCCTACCTATAAAAGAAAAAAGCATGCTATTAGATAATTTGGCTCTTTTACTCAAATTTCTACACTAGTGGTCACTAACATGACATTTTGATACAAAAACGTCACAATGATCTTATTACCTTTGCCAACAATTTACATTGCGATATAAAAATTATTTGTTAAAACTTAAAAAGGCAAAAACAATTAGCATTTCATTGTCTGCGAGTTGCAGTTTCTAAAGACTTCAAAACGATCAATACAAGTATAATATAAGCACGTCTATGCAAATATAATAGGTTTTTATGGCGCAAACAGAATAAAGTCAGGTAAAATCTTGGAACTATTGCATTGTTAAATAAATGTTGTGGTCGGTGTACAAAAGTATGCGGCAGTTGCAACGTAAATCTGGTTTTTCAATTACCTGTTCAATTCGAAACATTTTTTTTTAATCTGAGTACACATTACGACAATCCTTGTCATAACTTTTAAAACATTATGAGTATTTTATAGTATTGCAATACAATTTATTTCCTTCATAAAACGCAACGAAGTAATTGTTTCCAATATTAAAACAGCTGTGAACATAAGACCACATGTTTCTGCGGTGAAAACTCAAAGTTTTATAATAGCCTTGTCAAACCATAAGGAGGTCAAACAAAAGGATACAGGATAATTGAACGATAAACCAAAATAACCTTTAATTTTCATTTTATTTCAGAATTAATAACGCCGGCAAGGTTTTTATCGTATATTTTTAAGTCGTAAATAGAATGTGTCTTGACATTAAAATTTGAATTAATAGAATAAAACTACTTACATGCGTTTTCAAATATAATTCGGCAGCTTCTCTGTCTCTCGGTGTATTAGTTTTAGGTTCTGCCCAATTAGAGTCCAGCGACATTCCAATTTTACCTGGAAAATGACAATGTGTTTACTCTGTTAATGTCTACGGTAATCAAATGATGTAATTAATTGTTTTGCTTTTTCGTTTTTATTACTATCAGGAGGCAGTTATATACATTACTAATATAATTTAATCTGCATTAGAATTTAACGAGAAACTTTTTGTATTTACCTCCATTAAGCGACCTGTATTTTGAATCGAACAAATGGTAGACACTAGCATGCGCCTTCAATAGATTATGTGTACATAAATACTCCGCTACACCATGTCGGTTCAACGCCGGGGCTCTATAAGTACCTCCATAGCCTTCTAGGCAAGTCTGCATCGGTTCATTAAAAGTTACCCAATACTTTACTTTATCACCGAAATTGTCAAACAACACTTTCGCATAATCTGTGAAGTAATCAACTATATGAGCATTCGTCCAACCTCCAATATCTTGCAGCTTCTGTGGCAAGTCCCAATGGTATATCGTAACCATAGGTGTGATATTGTATTTTAATAGTTCATCAATCAAATTTTTATAATACTGAATGCCTAGAGGATTTATATAGTTAGCGAGCCCTGTAGGTAATACTCTGGGCCATGATATTGAGAATCTGTATATGTCTACGCCTAGTTCGTGGACCATCTCAGCGTCTCTTTTATACAAATGGTATGAGTCAGCAGCGACGTCCGCATTTGAACCGTCTTTCACAAAACTTGGATTCGTGTGGATTAAATGATCCCATATGCTTTCCGATTTACCTGAAAAATACAAATAAGTAAATAAATGCTTAATTATTTCATTCTTAAGAATATACTTTTTATGTGAGCCTTTCCCTGTTCTGTAAATGTATATTGAAGCGCAATTGATACTGGTCATATAGAAACCAGATATACATCATCAAATTTATAAGCAGTTTCCCAAGGAACTGTTTTTTTTTTTATGTACATTTTGAAGAATTAATAAATATTTATATATCTTGGTTTTATAATGAAACTAACAATTAAGCGTTTTAATTTAAAGCGAAGCTGAGAACGTTTATAATAAAAACAAAAATTTGAAGGACAACAATATAATAATTTATCAAAATTTATGTAACAGGTTTTGATACGACATTGGCAATTCATTTTTAGCTTGGTGCAGATGTATTTCCAACCAATAAAATCTATTTAAACAACTAATATACAATATACCTTCTCCATACAATGGCAGGGAACAATCAGATCTTACTAAATCAAAGTATCCCGATTGAAAATATAATTTGCATCAATTACAAATGAATAGCAACGATTTTTTAACCCTTTACACAAAAGTCTTACCGTCTTCATTCCAAGCCCCTTCTATTTGTCCAGCTGCGGTAGAAACGCCGAACAAGAAGTTTTTAGGAAAAGTGTAATTCGACTTTGAACCGCCAGCTAAGTTGATCATCGCTGCATGTCTGGAAAAATTAAAACATTAAATTTAATAGAAATCACAAGTACCCACATACAGTATGTTGCTTATTGTTATTTTTAAAATAAAATTGCTTATGTATTACTGTACTCTGCTAATAATGCACGTGATTTTATACGAGAGCATTTTAGAGCACAACGATCATGTCACAGATGTTTAATTATAATCAAAGGATTTATCTGAACAAATATTTCAATGCAAGTATTTTTTTGTACAGTGGGTATATGTATGGTTAGTCAATGAAGTGTTTTGCCGGAATCGGAGGATTAAAAGAAAAGTGTTTACACGTATTGGTAAAAAAAAATTAAGTTGGAAACCATATGCCTTCATTTGCAGTTTCATTCTTGCACCAAGTTATCAAAATCTTGAGAATTTGTAACTCATCTATAGTCTATGAAAGCCCTTTTTAATAAGAATAAATTCTGTTACATTCTACTTTACTACCTTCGAAATGTACAAACCGCATTAGTGTACAAGATATTGCACTGTTTCATAAAGGAAATAATGACCTTGGCCGCTAAATGAGGAAACGACTGTAGTTTTTCCACATTAGATCTAGGCTTATCAATTGCACCTTAACTCTGTGTTACAATGTTAGTGTTTTGCAACGTCATAACGTGAAAATGCAAGATATGAAATAACTTTTATTATTTCTTTTTCAGTTATATTTAAGAAAATTCTCTGTGTCGATATGTAACAGAATATCTTTGAAGATTAAAAAACAATCGATGACTACCTAAACACCAGACTATCAACTTGGGGAATGTAATACAAAGTTAACATTACAGTTAGCTCTTATTCACTTTTCAGCTGCATTCCAAGAGTGCGATAAAATTAAATTACGTAGTTATCACTCTACTTGTAAAATATGCTCAATTTGTTTTGTGAAATCTGTTATGCACATCCGAG